AACACTCAAGTGGTCACAATTTTGACTCAATTATCATCAAACTTGGTCAGGATGCTTGTCTAGGTAATTGCTTGGATGAGTTCGAAATCGCATGTGAAACTAGGTCACCGGAGCTAAAAATAGAAAAATCTTGTTAACACTCTAGTTGCTACTGTTTTGATCCAAGTATACTGGAAATTGGTCTGAAAGTTTGTTTTGATGATTTCTAGGTCAAGTTTGAATATGTGTCACCTGGGTAAAAAACTAGGTCACACTGCTCAAATATGGAAAATCCTTGTTAACACTGTAGTGGTCACATTTTTGACTCACCTGTCATGAGACTTGGTCAGAATGCTTGTATAGGGAATTGTTTGGATGAGTTTGATAAGTCAGGTGAGCGATCTAGGGCCATCATGGCCCTCTTGTTTATTTTACACATTGAAATTTGTCCGGGACATAACTCTAAAAGTATAAGAGGTATCAACATGAAACTTTGTAGGTAGATAGAGCTCATTGAGTAGGTGTGCAGTGCACAAGAACCGTAACTCTGCCTTGCCTAATTTTTGAATTATCCCCCTTTGTTTATTTTACACTTTGAACTTTGTCCAGGACATAACTCTAAAACAATAATAGGTAACAACATGAATCTTTGTAGGTAGATAGATCTCATTGAGTAGGTGTGCAGTGCACAAGAACCTTAACTCTGCCTTGCCTAATTTTTGAATTTTCCCCTTTGTTTATTTTTACACTTTGAACTTTTTCTGGGACTTAACTCTAAATGTATAAGAGATATCAACATGAAACTTTGTAGGTAGATAGATCTCATTGAGTAAGTTTGCAGTGCACAAGAACTGTAACACTGTCTTGCCTACTTTTGGAGTTATTGCCCTTTGTTCATTTTGACACTTTGAACTTTGTCCGGGACATTACTCTAAAATTATAAGAGATATCAACATGAAACTTTGTAGATAGATAGGTCTCATTGGGTGGAAGTGCAGTGCTTAAGAATCATTACTCTGCCTTGCCTTATTTTGAAGTAATTGCCCTTTGTTTATTTTTACTTTTTGACTTTTGTCCGTGACATAACTTTAAAACTATTAGAAATATCAACATGAAACTTTGTAGGTAGCTAGATATAATTGGATAGAACTGCAATGCTTAAAGAACCTAAACAAAGCCTGGTCTAATTTTGGAGTTATTGCCCTTTGTTCATTTTACACTTTAAATTTTACCCGGAACATAACTCTGATATCATCAGGAAACTTTATCAGGGCTGGGAATCAAAACTGCGTCGTATCCTACAAAATGTAAACAAACGCCGCCATCTTGGAACGAAAAATGTATGTTTTTGTTTATAACTCTTTTTGTTGGAAATGACTGAAAACCAGATATATGTATTAACACGCTACACTATTTTCCGCTTCGTTCGGTATATGTTGCTTGCACAACTATTTTGTAAAACAAAAGTTATAGCGAACTTGCAACTCGAAGCGGAGCAGAATTTTTATGAATTATGTGGATACGACGCAGTTCATATTGCTTTATCTATCGTTTTTACCTTCAAATCAATTATATACTCGTTTTCAGAGTTCACCATAAACTTCAAAACATAATTTTGCATCATTTACTAATCTTTCATTAAAGAGAGATGTATATTTTCCAAGAAAATAATGATTTTTACGAAATGATACGACGCAGTTGAAAATAAAATATGATACGACGCAGTTGTATTTTCATTGCAGGTTGCATATTGGTTAAACTATTTAAATGATGTGCTAGGTATGCTAATAACATTTCTTGTTTACAACTTAAGTCAAAGCAGAGGTCACTCATTAGTTCCATAAAAATGGAAATGAAATGCAATTCTACTAAGGCTGCATTTTTCGGTCGCATTTTAGTACCTATCATAAGCATAGATCTACAAATTCCGAAAAGCTGTATCATATACATTGAAACACGTGATCGCACACCCATATGACAACATGTTCCAGTGTTGCCTTAGCATGCTTCTAAAATTGTTCCCGTGAGTTCGAAATGGGAGTGATTACTATTTTTTTTATACAAAATTCAATATTCCAGTGTATTCCTGGACCCTGTATTAATCAGGAATGACCTTTTCTTTAAAAAAAAAAGAGAAAGAATTACAAATTTTGAAAAGGTCTCTTGCTATCGGAAGAGAGCTATGCGCAAATTGCATGCCTACCTTTGTTACTTGTAATTAGCAATAATTTCCGTCAATTCCGTTATTACTTATGTCTTTTACGTGCCGATTTTATTGTATTCATTTTCTTAATAATCGGTGAGAACAGATGAGCTTTATTATTCGGAACTGAACATTAAATTTTTAGAATTATATTATAAATGTTTAAGCTACAATATATTTTTGCAAGTAGGTTAAGCGTTCCGTTTAGTCATTTTATGTTCAGCGCCGCTGATTTTGTCGTATTGCATTTCTTTATCTCCGATGAGGAAAGGTCTACGGAATATATTTTCTATATTTGCACTTAAGTATCATTCTTCTCCATTAAAAACTTTAAATTTTCAAAATCGAGTTACATAATTATGATACAACTACAAATTATTTTGTAAAGAAGGTGTCCATTTTGCAAATGTATTTTACGCTGTGCACCGATAAATTTGATACAGATATAGGCAGACATGATCTTTCAACAGTATTGAAAAAGTTTTCACAATATTGAACAGAAAATGAAGGTCAGATTATCGTATCGAATTTTCAACAGACTAAAGACATTGCATATTAACATACCTTCATACTAAAGTGTGATTTTTATTTGATGATGAATTGCCTGAAAACTTAAAAGTTTTCAGAAAATGACTTCACAGAGGATTACACCCTGTTTACATTGAAAATTTCTCTGCTAGTCATACCGAAATAAGAAATTTAAATGTTATTCTCTTTATAATTAATTCAAATATTTATAATCTTAAAACTTCACGCCAGAAGTTAATAAAAAGCTGCTTATTTGTACAGCTGACATTAACAAATTTTGTTGAAAAAACAAAAACAGACCTGTGTGTACGACCGAGGCGGAGCTGTTTATGTTTACTGAATTTAAATCACTTGAACTGAACTGCTATGAATTCGAAAACCACCATGGACTTTTTATTCTTTCATGTGGAAAACCTATCAAGCTAGTTTCAAAATGTCGATGGTTCTCTGCAACATTTTGCCTGAAATAATGCACAAAGGCGCACCTGAGGTCCTCGCCCATAATTAAGCTAATGTGTAATGTGAAAGTTTGAAAACAAACCATAAAAAGCAGTCAGTACCCAGAACATGCAGAACCACAATTAACTTAGAGCGTAGCTAGCCAACATGAATTCAAGTTAATAGATTTCTACATTTTTTTGCGAAAAAAATTAGGAATAATATTGAATTTACAGGAAAATATAAGAAATTATTTCAGATATTATGATCAATTAGGTAACATGTCCATGTTTAACTGAAAAGTAGCTTCCGCAATGTAAATTTTCAAATTAAATGTTATATTGGACATGACACAATGTATTCTAAATAATCAAATACAGCAGAACATTGCTATACACCGCAAATGATCTGGTTTTTTTATCTAGCGCAAGTGATTATTCCATAAAATAGAAATATTTTGCCTGTTGAAAAGACTGCCAAAAATACAACTGCGTCGTATCATATTTTTTTTTCAACTGCGTCGTATCATTTCGTAAAAATCATTATTTTCTTAGAAAATAAACATTTCTTTTTAATGAAATTTTAGTAAATGATGCAAAATTATGTTTCGAAGTTTATGGTGAACTCTGAAACAAATATATAATTGATTTGAAGGAAAAAACGATAGATAAAGCAATATGAACTGCGTCGTATCCACACATTTTCATAAAAATTCTGCCCCGCTTCGAGTTGCAAGTTCGCTATAACTTTTGTTTTACAAAATAGTTGTGCAAGCTATATATACCGAACGAAGCGGAAAATAGTGTAGCGTGTTAATACATATATCTGGTTTTCAGTCATTTCCAACAAAAAAGTTATAAACAAAAACATACGTTTTTCGTTCCAAGATGGCGGCGTTTGTTTACATTTTGTAGGATACGACGCAGTTTTGATTCCCAGCCCTGTTATAGATAGATAGATCTCATTGAATAGAAGTGCAGTGCAAAAAAAACATAACTCCGCCAAATGCCTAATTTTGGAGTTTTTTGCCCTTTGTTCATTTTTTTATACGTTCCTGTGTCCAGAACCTTCTCGGGGAGCATCACCCGGTTCAACCGGTTCTTGTTTTTAATTCTTAGCCTATTCATATAATAAAACAATTATTGACTAGTGAGCCATTGAATATGATGTGATATTCACCGGCAGATGACATATTGACCGAGGCGATAGCCAGTCAATAATTGTATAGTATAACATGCTCCAAAATAATGATAAGAAAAACTCCACATGAGTCTCAAACCTACAATTTCTGCTCTTGAAGTAATTTGATGCAAATTAATGCAAAATCGCCTAATAAAGTACACCAGCAAAACAGTAACAGGTTTCACCCTTTTAAATTTTGAATCGAAAGTGGGAAAACGCGTTTGTTCTTATTTCGGTAACTGTCACGATATTATAAAGTACCATATATTCGTAACATATATAAGCTTATATAACATGCTATATTTTGTTTTTAAACTTAATTCATTAGTTGTATGTTTATTGATCATTTACATTTTTAAGGGACTCCATTGACATTTTCTAACGTGACAGGACTGGGGATGCTTTCCCGAGATATGTGTGTGTTTAATGTAGGTCTGGACCAATAAATTGTGTGCTGATCATTCCAACACCATGTTTCTCCAGAATGTGCAAAATGACCCGAAATTGAAAAGCATTGCAATGTTTTTCATATAAATCGTGATAAGACTCGAACAAAGAAATTCGACTTTCAATCTAATATTTAGAATTTCCTTAATATTCTTTGCAGACTATACATTTTAAGTGATTGACTTGACGTAAGTAAAGATTTCATTTTTTATGGTTGTTTTTTAGGCGTTCTGATCTTAGTGGTGCTCTATCAATATCTCATAGACGAAATGTAAGTTGGAAAAGAAATGGCTTTTGCATTGCCGGTTTCTTTAACACCGACAGAGGAGAAAGCTGATTGTTTTCGACTTCTATCTCTCGTCGTTGACGGTGGAACATTGGCATTACGTCATAGATTTGATCAACTTATTACACCAAATGACCTGCAAAATACTCTTAATGATACAAACACTCGTGGAAAATTGAACGCCTTACGCATGAAACGCGTTTTAACAAATGCTCAATGGAACTTGCTATATCCACAAACAGGTCGGCCATGTTCAGGCAGATTTGATGTTTCTCTACTGTACTGCTTGCTGAAATACATATGTGGACTAAACGAACAATCTACATCGTGGAATGGTGTACCTCCTTCATTTGACACAACAGTAGAGGCGGATGTAAACAGACTAAAACAATACCGAAATGATGTAAATATTTATCTTTTCGACTTATAATAATTATATATGTTTCCAAATATGCTAGTATAATAATAATTATTGTCGATGGTATAATTTTCTTTATATTTATTATTATTTTTATTATTATTATTAATTTATTATTATTATTATGATTATAATAGAAACGACAAAAGCCGTCCATATAACAAATACATGTACGCCGAAAATAACGGCATAAGCCGTCCCTATGGCAGTGAAGGGGTTAATGATTTTTGACTGTTATTTTTCTGTTTGTTTGTTGTTATGACCAGTTGCATATTATATGCCTTGGTTTAATAAAAACTGAAACTGACTTTATCAAAATGAAAAGTTTTATTTTGTAATAATGTCTTCTCTGCAAGAAATAATTTAAAATTTAAATTTTTACAAATAATTATTTTACACAGTCATGTTTGATATAGATATTAAATTTAAAGTCTGATACAATTATGTGCGTGTTTCAGGTAGCTCATTTGATATCTATCTCATTAAACAAGGGTGAATTTAACAGAAAATGGACAGAAATTGAGAAGGTAAGAAACTGTACGTGTCATATACTGTAATGTTGTAAAGTGTTAAAGAAGTTGAATCGAATGAATTATGTTATTATAAAACTATTTGCCATTTTCCAAGAATATGGTTGCGTAAGGATTTAAAATCGCTATTGAGAATATATTTTGTTTTGTTAGTTGACTGGGTATTACATCGCACTAACACAGGAGATGTCATATCGCGACTTTACAGCTTTACTGGTGAAAGAATACCTCACATGCCCCCTATGCATTATTGCAGGCACAAACGGTACATGAGAACAGCAATCGACGTTCCGTAACCTATCCAGCTGCCTCAAATGAAAAAAAAGTTCTTTACGGGAGTCGAATCCATAGTGCTGAGGGGAAAGTAGTTTGAAGCCACGGACCTTAGCCACCATCCCCCCACCACTGATAATTAAACACAAGCTTTATCTGGTGTTTGGTGCGAAAACATTCTTCCTGTTTACTAAATACAGTTCAGTTTTCGACTCTGTTTAATATGGTGGCATATTTCTGCCACCAGATAGCCATATAACTAACAAGTTAATTAAAAGGTTAACTAGATACGTAACTAGTTAACCTCTTAATTAACTAGTTAGTTAAGAGGTTAACTTGTTACATATCTAATTAACCTCTTAATATTAAGCTGGTAAAATAGTAAAATCATGGCAGTTGTAGTCACTTACATGCATTTATTTCCCGTAATGATCTTTTATTTATTGAAAAAATTAACTAGTTACGTAACTAGTTAACCACATAACTAACTAGTTAATTAAGAGGTTAACTAGTTACGTAACTAGTTAACCTCTTAATTAGCTAGTAAGTTATATGGTTATCTGGTGGCAGAAATATGCCACCCATAGTTAACTTTTTTTCCCCTTACAAACATGCTAAAACCCGTAAATGTTACCCTTTGTCACCCCACTTTTAGAACAAGACTGGGCGGGCGTGATTTGCTGTTTTACCGGGCGTTTTAACCAAAGGTTTTAGTCAGTTTTTTAGCAAATTAAGTGATAAATATTCATAACGTATAGTAAAGAAAAGAAATTGAACGAAATATTTATTATCATTATTGTCCCCCGCCTTTTCGAAGAAAAAAGGGGGATATAGTAATAGGCTCCGTCCGTCTGTTCGTCCGTCCGTCACACTTTCATGCCCGGTCCATAACTTTGTCATTTATCAAAGGAATCTGAAATAACTTGGCACAAATGTTTGTTATAATAAGACGATGTGTCATGCGCAACAACCAGACCTCTACCTCCAAGGTCATGGTCGCACTTGCTCATTCAAGGTCACATTGCCTATTTGATGGTATATGTCGTGTCCGGTCCATAACTTTCTTATCTTTGAAGGGATTTTGTAAATACTTGCCACAATTGTTCACAATGATGAGACGATGTGTCATGCGGAACAACCAGTCACCTACCTCCAAAGTCAAGGTCACACTTGGAGGTCAAAGATTAACATAGTCTATTACAGGGTATATTTTGTGTCCGGTCCGTAACTTTTTCATTTATCAAAGAAATCTGAAATAACTTTGCACAATTGTTTGTTATAATAAGACAATGTGTCATGCGCAACAACCAGACCCCTACCTCCAGGGTCAAGGTCGCATTTGCTTATTCAAGTTCAACATTGTCTATTTGATCGCATATGTCGTGTCCGGTCCACAACTTTCTTATCTTTGAAGGGATTTTGTAAATACTTGCCACAATTGATTACAATAATGAGACGATGTGTCATGCGCAACAACCGGTCACATACCTCCAAGGTCAAGGTCGCATATGGAGGTCAAAGATTAACATAGTCTATTACAGGGTATTTTTTGTGTCCGGTCCATAACTTTTTCATTTATCAAAGAAATCTGAAATAACTTGGCACAAATGTTTGTTATAATATGATGATGTGTTCATGTGCATCAACCAGACCCCTACCTCCAGGGTTAGGTCGCACTTGCTCATTCAAGGTCAACAGTGTCTATTTGCATGGTATAGTGTTTTGTCCGGTCCATAGACTTTCTTATCTTTGAAAAAGGATTTTTGTAAATACTTGCCACAATTGTTCACAAT